ATATATATATATATTCTAAAAATAGTTTCTTGTTCTGACCTGAACAGCAGCAGTGGGATTAGATGGAGGGGATTTGCAGCAATCTTATTTCTGTAGTGGATGCGCATCTCATTGTCTGTAGTACATAATTGCTGCAATTATGATGTCAGTTTGTAGGTGGGGTCTGTATTTCCACACTAAATCAATTGCTTTCTGCTTTTTAACTAGTTGAATAACTAGATAGATAATGATAATTTTATTTATAAATATTTAATTTTTATAAATATTTTGAATATAGTAATATTATTAATTTAATTCTTTATTTTAAATATTTATATATATATATATATATATATCCACTACTAATTAGTACTAATTTGAGTTGGGGTTTCATCCTAATCTCTCTCTTTTTTTGTTACAGCACAAAGCCTGATATTTTTTTATTACTGTTTTTAATCTCAGGACAGTAAGCAAGTTGTAGAATCATACAAGTCGGGCTTTGAGCCGCCGGGTGATGTGGAGTTTGAGGACTACAGCGTGTCGATGAAGAGGGCGGTGTCAGAATCTAGCTTCCTGAACGCTCGTGGAGATAGCAGACGCCGGAGTAGGAGCAAACTGTGGCCTTTACTCAAGAGAAATAAGGTACGGGATTAAACGGATCACCTGCTTAAGTCACAAATAAGCAAATAAAAGAACAAAATTCTACGCTGCTCATTAATGGTCAGCTGAGATGCAGTCATGTATGCTTTTATGTCAGAAAAAAGCTGAATAAATAATCCATGCTATTTATATTCAAGTAGTTTTATTGCTATTACAGAGTGTTTGCAGTGGCTATTTTATGCAACTAGTTTCATGCAGCTTGTTGTGGAATCTTGTAGTTTTGATGATATAATTCATTATCTGTTTATGCATTAGGAAAGCAGTTGTTTTAATAGTCCAACTGTATTTAAGCTTGTAAATATTAAGACGGGATTATATGTTAGTTATTGTTTTGATGGCACCAGACTTTTAAACTTGGAAATATTTAGATTGGATAAAAGAAAGTGTTTTTTT